TTCATTTTCTCATTAGTTGTTTGAATCTTCTCATTGATGTTTACGACTGTAATTGATCAGTCTCTCACTAGCATATGTATATCCTGTACGGACTGTCTTAATATTGTTTTAAGTCACAGTCATTATAATGGTAGAGTGAATCAATCTTCACGCCATTGTACATGCTAGCGGCTATCAGGCTCGGTAGCTAAGTAGATAACACGATGGCATTTGAAGCGAGTCCCACAGTAAACATCAACTCCGGGATTCAGGCACATTCAGTTGAAGATTCCCACAATAGGATAGAAAACCCGTCATTATTTCTACTGCTAATCATCATCCATCATCTCTGCTTATAAATATTGATAGCTCGAGTCAGTGAATAGACAAAATTTAAGTAGGATGAAATGAATATTTCAGGTTCCTTTCCTAGTAATAACTTGAAACTTTAAGTTCTACAGTGTACTGACAACTTAAAAAGTTTTTGAATCTTTCCAATAACTGATTGAATTCGTTGCGTGATTTGATCTGACTTAATAAATATTCAACGTATGGAATATGAGAGGTGATTTCAATTCTATGTTTTACAACTTACGTTTTATTTTTCTAGCAACATCCCAACTGAATTTACTGAAAACTGAAATAAAAAATTGAAGTTAATCATTTTTACTTTGGTCGAACAAATTTTTTTATCATAGTTCATTGACGACCTGCTTGAACATCTGGGCTACCTGTTCCTGCCATCTAGATATTTCAACAAGTTATCTAATTTTGTCTAGTTTAATACATCATTATAGTGGTTAATCGCATGACCTATTCAGGTGCGTGTGTGCAAAGTGTACAAACTTTGATTGTACAAGTTATAAAAGACCCAGCCAGATTGCTGGTAATATTGCTGGTAATATGTATGCAGAGAAACGAATATCCCTAGTTTAAATGTCGGTTGACTAGACTGCTAACATCTAACTGGCGATCACTCATTATTTATCATTAGGATCGACCAAGAAGTAAGAAACGGAATCTTGTGCTGAGAATTCTATGTCGTACCAAAAATATCATATTGAATAAAGCCACTGATGATAATTATAATATAATTAACAAAAATTCAAATAAAATTTGACTCAGTTGAATGTATAAAATATTGAAGTCGTAATGGAAACCAGAATTCAATTGAATATGCACAGTTTTAACAAACTTGATTGGTTGATTTAATCTTAGTAGTGCAATTTATGAAATCCAATTCGTCGATGAGTTAGAACTCGTCAACTGAAAGCTTCGAATCTCAATGTTGATTTTGTTACTGAGATAAAAATCACGATGTGTTATCTATTCACCTTTCACGTTTTGCTAACTGTTAATTTGCACATTAACGATCATTTGTAAATATCTGCATACGTGTGAACGTCGATAATGTGTATGTTGTGGGATAAAATGTTAGGCTAACCGTATATCAAATATATTAGAATACTGAAATACTTATCCTAGAAAAACCGGTAGAAATATTTGTAACCCAGGTGGACTACATCGTCAAGTGAAAAGTGAAAGGATTGCTTAAAATAAAAATGAAAACTGTCTAATCTTCAAACTTTTCAATTCAGACAACACCTGATCTTAAGATAATCATTTGTACGATCTTCAACTGAAAAGAAATTCTAAAGAGCCACTTTCTTGTACAAGTTAGTTTATGATATGTGTTCAAAATCCATCTATCGTGTACTCAAATATAAATAATATCAATGCAATTTACTTACACAAATGTTTACTAAATTCTGCTTTACAGTGATATAAATCACCTAATTTTTGATGGAGAATGATAGTGCCTTTAACAAAAATGTGAAATTTGGAAAGCGATCGATCATTTTGTTGCATTTGTTGTGGAATAATCTAATGTAATGTTTTATTCGAATAAAATATTGAAGTATTATAATAAATAATATCAAAGTATACTTTGTAGATTAATCCTATGCGAACTATTTGCATAACTCCAGCTGAATAAATATATAGTGTTTATTTGTTAAAATTTTTTATTTAAACACAAACATTGGTACAGGGAGGCACCAAATAGATATGTGCCACATAAATCATTCGATTTGTGCGAGGGCTGGTATACTGCTCGGGTGCCCAAACTGAAGCGGGTGGTACTCTTAGGGTGCCACACGCAGAGCCTTCGATCTAAAGGTCTGATCCATAAGGCAGTGGAGCAATGTCAGGAGATGTAGTCCCATGGTAGCCGGTGACCAGAAAATGGTTCATACGCCATTTGTTTCTTCAGGATACTGGAGCCCATGTGCACCATTGATTTGGAATCAGAGTTTTTCAAATCCCCTAGGTGGACTCACCGTGTCTACAAACCCGGTTAAATCGTCAGACATTGATTTTTCGTCCTCTCAATTTCGTAAACAACAGTAATGCCGCGAAAAAGCAGTGAGTATGAATTTCCGGACAGCCATTGTATACACGTGGTCATGTGAAAGCATTTCGAGGAGAGATGATTCTCCCTACCCTCGGTCGCACCAGGGCATTTGGGGACAAAGAACGTCATAAGTTTTATTATTTTCTCCCAATCTGACTTTGCCTGCCGAGTTAGGATTAAAATTCCATGCTAAGACCACTATTTCCGACCGTCTGGTTTTCTGAAGGATATCATAGTTTTCCGTAAAACTCGTATTTCACTCTGTCTAAGCCGCGGTCAGTGCGGGCAGAAGCAGAAAAGACGACGGGGTGTATTCTTATCACTCCGATTTATTACTATGCAATTAAAATGAACAGCACATAAGTGGCTGACAATAGGAATTCAGTCTAAGAGCACTTGTTCAGCTTACAAATTTAATGGTTTATCCACAACTGCAAGACTACGAAAAGTTCCATCATATTTCCAGATACACAAAGGGTACACTGCACTGGCTCAATGAGGTTAGGTGAAACACCAAACGAGGATCCCCTATGTGTATTTCAGACACACATTACCACCCTGTGCAGTTATCAATAGGACTTCGATCTCATACGTCAAATTGCTGTTTTTAGTTTCACTGCTCTCAAGCCAGCGTGACATGGGAGGAACTGGAGGAATGAATGTTCCAGCCAACATAACCCACTGGGTTATCATGATATGTAAGCCCGACAACCAAGTCAAGATAGCAGTTATGGTAGTATAACATATCGACAGAAAACAGAATAGACTATATTACCTCTAAACAAACTACAAATGTTGACTGTATAAGGTGAAACCTATCTTTCATCGTTCAGTTAAATTTACATAAACTTGCATAGTGTTGAATAAAACTACTACAGTATGGTTCACAAATCAACCCCTTTTATAATGTAAAATTATAAATAAATTTTGTAAAATTTTATTACTTTGATAAAGTCCTACTGGTATATTGTTGTAACACGCAAAATCAACACGACTATCTCTTTCTTCTAATTATTTGTGGAAAAAAGGAAGAAAAGTGGAACCAATAGTCAATGGGATGAACTGATGTTCAATTTGTCAGTCCTTAGTATCATCATCTTATATTGTAATTTTAAAACATAGACCATTGAATGTTTCCCTTCATATATGTGCACACAAAATTCTTCATATATCCATCTACATCCCAGTGTAATCACATATACAAAGACTCCAATTGTTAACATCATAGTTCAATATGACAATAAATAAACTGATTATCACATATTTGTTTCTCTTGTAAAAATTTGAAAATTGATGACTTAATAACAAAAAACAGTTATCCCTAACAGTCTCATGTTATTTTCTTAGTATGATTGTCAATATTGTCAGCTTATAATGAAGACAAGTTAATACAAGTGTTCTCAGTTTATTTTACAACTTGTAATTGACAAATATTCTTTAGTAAGAAACGTTTCCAATGTACATATTTCCTTCCTCTTTTCCTGAAGGGAAGTGGAAGAGAAGGATGCCAAAGAACACATTACGTCGGGAAATAGAAGCAGATATGAAAACGATGAATAGAAACTAGAAAGAGCTGGAAAGGATTGTCCAGGACAGGGTTTGATGGAGAGTGATGATGGGTGGCCTATGCTCCTACACGAGGAGTAACACGCGTAAGTAAGTAAGTATTTCCATAAACATAATCATGTAAATGATACGTATCAGCCGAGATTTGAATGAAAAATTTGTAAATCATCTTGTAAAGCATCTTGTAAAATGTAATTGAAATATAGAACTAAAAACAACTGTCTGTCAGCCAATATCAAAGCCAGAATCTTCAATATCGATGTCAACACACTTTTACTGTACGAGGCTGAAACTTCTAGAACTACCACAACCATCATCAAAAGAGTTCAAGTATTTATGAACAGTTGTCTGTTTAAGATATCAAATGTCCGTTGGTCGAATGTCATCAACAACGGAAAGGGGCAAGGCTAAATTGCACACTGTGACGAGAATCGGTAGCAGACATAGTAAGGGTGAATGGCAACTGGAAGCAATTGAAAAAGATTGTCCAGTACAGATTTGGATGAAGAATAGTGGTGGGTTGTCTGTGCTTCTCCACGAGGGGTAACAGGCGTAAGTAAGTAAACAAGTTCTAATTGAAAAAGCTAAGATATGTATACACATTCTGTTAACAGACAGAAATTGAAAATTCCTAGTTTTTTCTACCAACACTATTAAAAATGCTTTTTCAGTAAATTTCATTACAAACAACAAAATATTGAGATAACTTCATTATATGATAAAGTAAATTTCATTCAATGGGATCAGTAAATAGGGAAAATGTCAATGCAGTAAGGTGCATCATCACACGTTAAAAATACATATCTCTTACTTTGATACTGCTTGATTTGTCCCTGAAAACAATCTATAAGCTCAGTGTAGTTTTCTTTCAGAATTGAACCTAATAAAATTGGTGAAGTCAAAATATTCGTCGAATTCCTTAAAATATGTTACTATACAGAAAGTAATTAACTGCATAGTAAATAATTCAACGATAATTGATTCGAACACAGATACAATCTTGAACTTACTAGTATAAATTAAGTTGCCTTTCATGTAGTCTATGATTTCTGTAAATGTTATATTAAACAACATGATGCGTAATAATAATGTTTCTCAGTTTCATGAAAAGAATGATACAGTAGTTATTGAGGAAGAAGTGAATTGAACAGAATATCATTCACAGCCCCTCCCCTTCCAGTCAAGCAGGTTGGTAAAGCTTAGTAGGCCCTTCTACAGATAAACAGGCCACATCGAAGCATGGCACAACTACCGGGGCTAGAATATCTGTTTTTGCAAGCGGTTGGAGTTTGACCGGTAACGAACACTTTTGTTAATTTTTTTGTCGTTTTTCCATCCAAGAGTAATTGTGTATCTTTGTGGAGTTCGTAATCGACTTGAGGGCATCGATCGAGTGGGTGATAAGCTCGATCTCTACCACTCGGATTACCGCTCACGTTAATCCAAGAGTTGTTCGTCCCACTATCCATGAGGCGCGGCGCGGATATGTGACTCGGATTTGGTCTCATTTACAGATTACGTGTTAAAATAAAAATAACTACATTTCTTTATGAAACAAACTTGGTTCAGATTACCGAGCAAAATATTGAATTTACTACAAATTCATTCACTGATATTTTACAAATACATTCTTCCTCCTTACTGTCTTTTATTAACTCAGTGCCCAGATACTGGGAAACTATTCGTTTAAAACTAGACGAGAGTTCTTACATATTACGTGGCAATTATACTCTGGTTATATGTTTTCTGAAAGCACAACAGTTTCTTTCTATATTGGGTCAAAAAACGAAACTTCGATGAGAAACTACGGAACTTCATAAACTTAAAGTCTTGAATGTCAATCTCCATTTGTATATTAATCCATAGTAGTGAAATAGGCATGGCAAGTTTCTGGAAACGTAGGAACAGGTATAAGTGTGCGCAAGAAGTAATAAATTAGTATCACAGCTTCACGAGGATAATCAGAATGAATAGATCTGCCTTACAGAAACAAACCTTATGAGTTGTCACCTACGATTGCAACCTTGCTCCCTAATACTTACTATTTGTCTTACAACATATCCCACACAAACGGTTATATTTACGTAGATGTTGTTACACTGTCACACAGGTCCCAACTACCTCAATTAATCAACGGCATATTATTGTTGTATTCTTAACGACTGACTAAATCGATCTAATTCCCTAAGTCTTACCTTCGCAATACTTATCTCCTAATCTTAACATACAAGAACAACCATTTGAAAACACGTATAATCAAAGGTAACCAACTTAAACGTGTATTCTACAATCATTGGTTAAGCTCATCAACCATACCCGAACACACAACATGAAGCTATGCATATCTGTACTGGAGGTAAAATATAAATATTCTAGTCCAACAGAACATCTGATGCATTTTGACCAATGAATAATAATCTTAGTATTCACATTATAGAAGAGGATATGATGTAATAAAATCGAAATAACTTTGTTCTTCTTGTTGTTGTGATCTGATTTTCCTATACATTAGACAATATCTTCATAATTATTCAATGAAAGTGCAAGGACCATAAATAAACATACCAGTGAACAGAGTTATCCCTTTTTCACTCTCATAATATATTCTTTGGCATTCAATTACTAAAATAGAAATATTAATTGATTATTAAATTGTTATGTAACAGCTTACATTTGTCAAACACGACACCATGATTTTCCAGTTGAACAGTTAATTCATCTACAGAAATGTATTTAAAGGAAATAATAACATTAGTGTTTTGATAAACGAGGTCGGTAAATATTTTTGTTTACATAATGAACTATTGAAAACGTTGTTTATTTATTTGGATATATAAATATTGATACGAAGTGGCAACGAATACATATGTGCCACCCAATTCACCTGATTTGTATATAGTTTGTGATACTGCCTGTGTGCCCAGACCGAAGCAGGTGGTTTTCTTGAAGGGCCACACCTGGAACCTTCTACCAAAAGGTCTGATCCATAAGGCAGTGGAACATCAGGAGATGCAGTCCAATGGTAGCCGGCGACCAACAATTAGTTCATACGCCATTTGTTCCTTCAGGATCCTGTAGTCCATGTGCACCATCGATTTGGAATCAGGATTTTCCAACTTCTCTAGGTGAACTCTCCGTCTCCACGAACCTGGTTAAATCGCAGGATATTGCTTTTTCGTCCTCTCAGTTTCGTAAGCAACAATCGCGCCGTGAGCAGGCAGTTAGTAGGACATACGTTTTAGTGGCTGTATATGCGTGGCCATGTGAGAGCATTTGGAGAGGGAGAGCGGACTCCCCTCATCCTCGGCCATAACTGATTGAACTAGTAAACTATTTTGAAAATTAAAGTTTCGTCGCTATTGTTTAGTGAGTATTTTTGGTTTTATCATATTCCAAAGTGAAATAGTATCTGTTAGTTTATACTCATTGGTTATTAATTAGTAGGCATTACGTCTATCATATGTTTCTCATTTTTATATATACGATAACTAACCACAGAGTCATTCTTAATAAATGTACGAATAAAATGAATGCATAGTTACATTGCCGAACAAGCATAAAACTGTTCGAAATTGAAACGAGTTCATACAAACTTTACTGATGGTGGTTTAATCTTATCTCATTCTAAACAATTTCCATTTGTGTTATTGGATTCACTCATTCTATCTCAGTTTCTATCGTTTGAAACCACCTCAGCAATTCAGCTTACTTGTCCCTGACCTCAGATCGCTCTGTTAGTTATAGAACCGTAATTTTATTCTTGTTAATTTTATCACTTATCAGTAGATCAGACATTGTTTTAACACACTGTGTTCTCAATATAAACAGTTTTCTAGCATCGATATAATTTTTCGAAATTTACACAGTTATTGATCAACTGTAGAGTGTAAACAGTTTTCGAGAAACTCAAATGATTGCACAAGTCCAGTGCTTTCATGGGATGGCATTGACTGACTGGGATAAATGAACGAGAATAGTGAGGGATTTGCAAATTTGTGCGCATTAAACAAAATGTTTATAGGTGGCACAATATTTCCACACAAATGCATACGCAAGTCTGTATGGTTATTACCGTATCACATCACGGAGAATCAGATAGACCATATTTGTATCAGTAAAGAATTCATAAGGTAATGGAAGACATGAAAACCAAGAGAGGAGTAGACAGACCTCCAGATCATCACTAGATGGAGGCTGCTAATATGAGAATGAAGACAAAGAAGTACTGGACAACTGGGCAAACAGCATTACAAAGGTTCAATGCAGCCATCCTTCGAGTTACTAACAAACTCAACCAATTCAAGATAACTCTCAAGAACAGATTTCAAGCCTTGCACGATCTACTGAAAAAAGAAACTATAATGGAGGATCAATAGAAAGGGATCAAAGAAGCACTAACTTCGACGTGTGAGGAGGAGTAAGGCCGCAAGAAATATCATCATAAAGAATGGATCTGTATCGAGACATTGGTCAAGATTCAAGAAAGTAAGAACAAAGTGACAGCGACTAACAACAGCCGAACAATAACAGAGAAAGTCAAGGCACAAGATGGATACACAGAAGCAAACAAGCAAGTGGAGAGGAGAGGAGCGTTAGAGCTGTCAGGCAGAAATGTGTGAAGACCTAGTAAAGACAGCGGTAATAGCTGCAGGAAGGTGATGACAACCAGTGTGGCGGAAGCCTGTGCATCATTAGGCCTCAACATGTACAGGGGAAAAGCAAGATCGTCAAATACAGAGCAGAGAACACCAATCCAATTACAATTGATAAATTTGGGAAGAAAAGGAAGCTTTCACTTTTCTTGGCGGTAATATTGATGAACAGAGAGGAGTGGATGCAGACACGAAGGCATGGATTGGTGAAATATGGTCAACATACCTACAGTTGAAGAACATACGGAACTCAAAACAACTGTCTGTCAACCAATATCAAAGTCAGAATCTTCAACATGAACGTCTATTTGATCCATGTCTTTTCAATATACTTGGGCGTCGGTGTCGTTGATGTATCTGAGATAACCCACAAATATTTTGACAGTTTTTCCCCGGTTTCTTTCGATTCCTTTCGAAGTACAACTCATTGAACACCTTAACGCTAACGTTGAAACTTCGTGCCCATCTACAACTTCGCTGGTGATATGGCGTTGGAAATAGTTCAAATACGTCTTCTAAACATGGATTCAGCAGGTGACTTTACATCTGGGATAGTTGGGTTCGGAGTAGTTCGGCAGGCCATTAACAACTTTGTAATAACATGTCTAGTTGTCCCCTCGCCTAACTTTTCAGTTATGCTCGTTTAAAAGAATTGACAGAACGTTCTGCTTGTCCATTCGATTGAAGATGATAGTGAGGAGAACGTAGATGTGTCATTTTTGGCAGCTTCACGAAATGACAGGCAGATATGGCATTTGTGTTAAGTGACTTTGTCGATTGACGGCCAATAAGTATAGATTCGAGCCAATGACTTCACTTTATTGATCTCAGGATGACCACTGTGAAACCGTTTGAGAAACTCTTGACGCAATAATTCTGGAATGACAATCCATCACCGAACATAATATATGAGTTGACCACCATCAGTAAGTCACGTTGACAAAAATACACCAATATCCTCCTTCTAGATGATTGTTTGGTTATTTAATTGAAAGATAGCTTTAAACTCAATGTTTCATTAGTTTCGGTGGTTTTCTTGGTAGCTTCGAAGTTAACACGGAGTCCATCCATTGCTTTATCCAATACACGGTGAACTCCTGTTTCAGCTTTTACATTTGCCACAGTGGTGCCTTGTGACGATTTTGCCCGGGCACTTATTTATCTTGATGACGCTTGCCCGAAGCCTGTAGCCGACTGATACTTGATTGTGAAATCGAAACTGAGAAGTGTTGTTGCCCATTGCTGTAGCCGGTTGGCCGTGTAAACAGGAACACCGTTCTTCCACTTAAATACAGCAAGTAATGGCTTATGGTCCGTTATTAAGGTGAAATGACGTCCAAATATCATCTTATGGAACTTTTTCACTGCAAAGATAATTGATAGAGGTTCTTTCTCGATTTCGCCATAGTTCCGTTATGTCGTTATGAATTATCTGGCAGCACGTAAGATGGCTTTTTCAGACCCGTCAGGGGAATTGTGAGCTATTACTAATCCAATACCATAGTTTGAAGCATGTGAAGTAACCACTATTGTTAGGGAAGGATCATGATGCGCCAGTAAGTGATTGGAAGCTAGGCTTTTCTCGAAAGATGCCTGACAATTTGCTGACCAATCCCGTTTTTCATTGTTCTCTATCAGGTGGTTTAACGGAGCACGCAGACGATGGAGATTAGGGAGGAGAGTACCATAATGACTGGCCAGACCCAGGATAGATTTTGAGGTATTGATGTCCCTAGTCGTTTACAGATTCAAGACGTTCTAATTCCTGTTTAACTACTGGAAGGATGGCACAAAGCACAAAACTTTTAGGTAGAAAAGCAGGGATTTGGAGGTTAGTAATGCTTTAGCTTTCATACATTCTCTCAATACTTTTATAAACACGTGTTGGTGTCTTTGTAGCACAGCATTTTTCTGCTTCCACACTAAGGGGCTATCAGTTCTGATTCGGCTGCAGATGTTCTTAATCGAATGCTCTGCTAGTTTTCCTGTCCCTGTCAGATCTAATCACAACAAGTCGAGTGCTGGATTCTTGTAAGGTATACTCTTGCATTACATTTAGAAACAGTTCAGGGAACTTCTCCAAAAATATAAAACCTGCCGCCAGATGCACTGTGTGCTTATTGTGTTGTTGGATGAACTGTGATTCTCCCAATATTTCTACAAGTTTCTGGGCTGATTACAGTAATATCAGATGCTGCATCAAGTTAAAGGTGAGTACTCTGTTTAATGATATTCAAGGGAAAATACTTTCTTTGGCGGTAAATTCGTGTTCTGCTATGAGATACCAATATTTTGTGAATTATCGCACCAGATCTGTATTTCGTGAAATAAGGTATCAAAGAATGTTATAATACCAACCTCCACATGACTAGCATGGAAGTGAAGGCTCATCGTCTGTATGCGATAGTTTTCATGAGCCTAGATTCTTCTTTTTGTTGGCAACATGAACATATGGCGACTTGCTGTTATTTTGAACCACGGGGGTGTCATGTTTCAAGTTCACCAATCTCTGGCACACCATGGTTACTTCCTGTAGCGAACGTCAACACAATTCTACTGTACGAGGCTAAAACTTCGAGAACTACCACAACCATCATCAAAAGAGCTCAAGTATTTGTAAACATTTGTCTATGTAAGATACCGAATGTCCGTTGGTCGGATATCATCAGCAACAGCCTACTGTGTGAGAGAACAAACCAACTTCTAACTGAAGAGGAAATTAAGAAAAGAAATTGAAAGTGGATAGAACACACATCGAGGAAATCACCGAACTGGATCACGAAACAATCTCTAACCTGGAAACGTGAAGAAAAAAACAGAAAGGAGGAGGGCCAAATTGCACACTACCGCTTGTTATATCAACATTATAATTTAGCCAATCCGCAAAGAGGCATGTTATGCTACTGTCCAATAGTAGTATGCCACGTTGATATTCTATCATGTTCTGATTGGATGGAAACTCTTCGAGTCTTTTAGGGACTCTGAAGGCTCCGTTATAGTTCTCGGAAGCCGTTTCAACAGGGTTAACAGGCGTAAGTAACTGGGTAACTTTGACTTTGCATGTTTGTTATGCCATCATGTGATATATACTACATCCACCTCATGTGTTTAACTTAGTACGTGATAATCTATGGGCATAATTATCGAAAACCTATACACCGAGCAATTTAAACGAAAGTTTCATGTGGTTTTATTTCACGTTGTTAAGTGAATCAATCAGTCGAATCAGCATTTACAAAAATAAATCGTAATGATTTACTTACTTATGACATTTTGGGCATCATCTTCTGCAATTTTTGCTTTCTTGTCTAATTCAGCTAATTTCCCTGTGACAAAATTATATAGGCGTATATTATAAACTGTATGTTTCGTCTTTGTATATATCACAAATCATTTGGTTCGTAGAACACAATTTGTTGACACACCACGTTTGTATTATTTTATCTTAAATTTAAAGTTTCCAAATGAGACTTACATGTTCAATAATCTGATAGCTGACTTGTTATAACGAAATAATAATTTTTTATAGAAATGATGTTTGTTTTGAGACCGGAACCATCGATATTCCTGTGATCTTAACCAACAGCCACCACGTTAGTTTGTTGGTAAACTATCATCAATTCTGGATGATATAATAATGTGATCTTTATTATCAATAGATAATATTTGTGGAGTAAAGATTTATGTGTACAAGGAAGATCACTGCAGTTTGAGAAATGAAATTCTAACATTTCTTCAGTTTGCTCATAAGTATACACGCATATGGCTAGTAAGTATGAAACTTGTCCTCAGTATTTCTTAGTTATTATCTCGTGTCAATAAATATAGAGCAATATTGACCATGATGCTAAGTCACTTACAATAGATGCACACTGAAATTTTACGAGTAGAAATTGTCCAACACATTCTCCATACCAAAAATACACTACAATCTTTAAAGATAGTAGTGTCTTTTTTTGTAGGTAAACTGTTGATATGTATTTTAAAACTGAATTTATGTAAACTGAGGTGGCTTTATTTCAGTGATTCAACATATTCAGGTTATATACTTACATTAAAACTACAAAGTTGTTATCTCCAATACACCAAAATTATTACAAATGAATTATTATTGGAATATTCATAAAAGTATCCTAAAAATTATTCTGTTAAGTCTAATGCTATCCTTGAATATGAAATGGTGTCCGTTTCCTATTGGTCATTATTTATTCACGTGTTGTTTTCCTACTGGTGAATATTCACGGTCGTCCTAACTGTATAAATATGCATTGTCTGTAAAATATGATTGTTCTTCTCCTGACCCCATAAACAATTTTCATTTAACGGTTCATATTCTGATATATTGGACATTGGGGAACATTATTGTGGTCGTACCGGGATATCTGGAGTTAGTCAATTAGTAGAATTCAGAGTACCTACATTGCGGTACATAATAATTATGAGTTAAAATAGTTTTTTACATTGTCTACAAAAAAATTCAATGTGTACTAACCATCATAAAATTTAGCACTGCCTTCAATATCTTCAATAATTTTTGAACATTTCAATTCTTAAATTCAGAGAAGTTCAAATGGTCAAATTCTTGTTCGCATAGTGAATAAATATTATCAATAAAAATTCTTAACTGGAAGGTCTGTACTGTATAAGCAGAATATTCACATCATCTTATTTATTAATATATGCATTTAAATTCACCTGGTATTGTTTAATTGAATCGTCCCATTGATGTTTAAAACTTCGCCCCGTTGCACAATCAAGTGGCTATCACGATTCAGTGACTAAGTGGATGCGGCGATGGCATATGAAGCAAATTCGGATTCTATATCCTGAGTAAAGTTCATCCGCCTAGGTACTTACTTACAATATGTGAATAAGGGATTAATTCTCATGGTTAATTATAAAACACCAGTAGAGGAGTCACGTTGTAGTTTCTATTTAGCGTTACGGGTTGGTCTTATCTAAATTAACATTGAAAGTCAGAAAGCTTTAAATAGTTGTCTCATCCTATATGAAAATCATGGACACTACCTTTTGAGGTGAATGTCCCATATGGAATTTGATGAAACCCCACTGACCACGAAATTCAGAGAATTGCTGCAGCATTATTGCGAATAGATTTAATTTACACATGTAAAACTTTGGGTTATGGTTCAGTAATTTAGAGGTCAGAGCTCACACATGAAACTTAATCTCCTGGGTTTGGTCCATTGAGAGGATATGGATGAACACTCCTGAAGAGTCCAATGCCAGAACGAAACTACTGTCTCATACTTTCTAGTCTTCAGTGATTACTCAGCTCTGGTCAATCAGTGGTTTTGGTTGTCAAATTCAACTACATTACAGTTTGACTAGAAGTCAGGTTTCTGATTATGCAGTTTGCCAAGAAACCAAGCATAATTGAAAGAATATTTGACTGTTGACATCCATGCGGTACTGATTTATATCCATCACTTATTGTTAATGGTTTTGTGTGCTGTAAACTAGACAGTTTACTTTGGGGTCTTTTATTATCATACCTTTGACTCCTGATGAACGATCAACAATGTTTGTGTCCTACCAACGTTTTAATAAGTTTCCTAATATGAATGTTCAAAAATTGTCCATTTCTACCATAAATTACCTATGAACATCAATGAGGCATATACAGCATAGTGTAACTAAAATAACATATGGCGCAAACGATCACCTGGGATAACCCCACACATTAATTATATAGACATAATAATTGCTAAATAGTGTTTAATAAAATCGGTCAAGTATATTTAAGGTAAATAGCATTATCACGGACGCTTCAAAACACCTACCTTTCTGTATCAGTATGCACAGTAATAGAAAGAAGTTGTTTATACAATAGCGTGCCATGAAAAACGATGATACTACTGCTTCTGAAGAAAAAATACCATTGATGTTTCTTTTATACCATGAATACAGGCCAAGAATGGACTTATCATAAGCTCATTATTAAGCTAATTATTCTGTCTACATTTATTTACTAAAATCTGATTTTTGTTGACCGTAATTATCATCGTACTAAAAAGACAGCTGAATAACTTCATTGTCACATATGTGTGATTTAACAGACACACCCATTCAGAACTATCAGAAATATGCTCATGCAGTGTAGTAAAAGATTAGAAATTATTTTAATTACTAAAACTGAAAAGTTATTCTAGCTAAATTATCAGGGTAAATCAGGAATCACTGTACAAGCAATTAAATCTATGCATGAGACTCTCCATCAGTGCTCATTCTTGAACCTCAACGGTCGACCAAAACTAGCACTTTCGAACTCACGTGTGTATTCTTAATCTCTGGACCACTAATCATGTATTCAATGATCTACATGTCTAACTTTAAATTATGAAATTTCTACAATTTACACAATTTGCCATATACAAGGAAAAATTATTAATTGTCAAGATGATACTGTGATGTCAATGACAACAAGAAACTGAACAAAAGAAGTACAATAAGCAGTATTTACTGAAATAGATATACCGTTCTACGAAATAACACCAGTTATATTTAGTGCGTTTTATTTCATAAAATATACCTATGATCTTGCTTGTCATTAAATTATGGTTTGCAACATTTAGTGACTATAATTTTGAAGATAGTACTGTGGTGTATGCTGCTAATGTCGATAAATATGAATAACATATGACATCAATAGAAAGTGAAATATCTGGTGACAGAAGGTTAAGAAGATAAAAGGAAAGAGAATGATTGATGTGGAAACGAAGAAACAATGAAGTTTGAGACAATTGATTGACATTTTGCAAATGAAGTATTTACAGTACGGCTCTCAGATTTTACTAAGGGATTCTGTAATTTTGTATTCAAATATATTCGGTTGTTCGCACTGGTGTTCTCGTTCACTGCAGTACTAGGAATACAAAGCAGGTGATATAATTTACAATAGTTTTAAATCTAATAACGACATAGAGAGCTACATTTAAACTGAACGATAGCGCAATTGAGGAAGACCAGTTAACTCTTTAATGTAAAACTACAGAATGTTTTGAGAGAAAATGAAAACCATACATTAAATACATATTTTTACATCTTACATCAGTTGTCCTCTGTATGCTTCATGACTTTTTCATTTCTGTTGTTATTACAGTTTCTTTTCTTTTCAGTTGAATCTTCCCAATCTTCTCCATACATATATTCCTATTAGAGCGACATACTACTTATATCTGTCAACATAATTAGCATAAAACATACATTCATTGACACAAATTATGAAAATTAAAACTGATAACACTGTACATTGTTTGATGAATTTATTTGTTAACCATACAGTTACGCTTTTACTTAGGTAGGAATATTGCAAAAGCATAATGCATTATTTTACATACAATGACGAGAGCTTTTGAACTCCGCTTGGAGTCCCCCTGGGGGCTACTGCCGGTCCCAACCCCGGATAAAGGAGGAGGGTTGGGCATGGGGTTAGCGTCCCCATCGCTAAAAAAACGCTAACCAGAAAAAATTATTCAAAACTTTTAAACTCTGCCCTGGGAGTCAGAAGGTCTTCATTTAGAAGAACTATGACGCCTCATGATGAAAGCCGAATCGCTTCGGGGGTTACGAGGCCAATGCCCCTTCTGACAACCAGAGCAACCATTTATTTAGGTACATGGAATGTTCGTACAATGTGGGACACCAGGAGAGCCTTCCAAATTGCTACAGAAATGAGAAGATACAACCTAGAGGTACTTGGGATCTGTGAAACACATTGGACACAAGTTGGACAACAACGACTAACTACAGGAGAGCTCCTGTTATACTCCGGCCATGAAGAAGAAAATGCACCACATACACAAGGAGTTGCATTGATGCTGTCCAAACAAGCACAAAAGGCACTTATAGGATGGGAATCTCATGGATCAAGGATCATCAAAGCCTCCTTCAAAACAAAGAAAGAGGGCATTTCAATGAACATCATCCAATGCTATGCGCCTACCAACGACTACAATGAAGACGCTAAAGATCAATTCTACAATAAGCTGCAGTCAATCATCGAGAAGTGCCAAACAAAGGACCTGACCATTATGATGGGAGATTTCAACGCCAAGGTTGGAACGGACAACACTGGATATGAAGACATCATGGAACGACACGGACTGCGAGAAAGAAACGAAAATGGTGAGAGATTTGTAAACCTGTGTCTTCAATAAACTGGTCATAGGCGGCACCATATTCCCACATAAACACATGCACAAAACCACATGAACTTCACCGGATCACTCTACACAAAACCAAATCGACCATATTTGCATCAACAAAACGTTCAGGAGGACTATAGAGGATGTGAGAACCAAGAGAGGAGCTGATATAGCATCAGATCATCACTTGCTGATCACCAAGATGAAATTGAAACTCAAGAAGCACTGCACAATGGGTGGACAACATCACAAAAGTTCAATACGGCCTTTCTTCAGGATACTAACAAACTCAACAAATTCAAGATAGTCCTCAGCAACAAGTTCCAGGCCTTTCATGATCTACTCAATAAAGAAGGAACTTCTATGGGAAGCAACTGGAATGGGATCAAAGAGGCAATCACTTCAACATGTCATGAGGTTTTGGGTCACAAGAAGCACCATCACAAGGAATGGATCACTGTTGATACACTTGATAAGATTCAAGAAAGGAGGAACAAGAAAGCAGCAATCAATACCAGTCGAACAAGAGTAGAGAAAGTCAAGGCACAAGCTGAATACACAGAAGTAAACAAACAAGTGAAGAGGAGCATCAGAACCGACAAACGTAAATATGTGGGAGATTTAGCAACGGCGGCGGAAAAGGCTGCAAGAGAAGGAAACATGGGACAATTGTATGACACGACAAAGAAACTCTCTGGAAATCGCCGCAAACCAGAACGACCAGTGAAAAGCAAGGAAGGCGAGGTAATCACCAACATTGAAGAGCAACAAAACAGGTGGGTAGAACACTTCAAAGAACTCTTGAATCGACCAGCTCCACTGAACCCACCCAACATCGAAGCAGCACCCACGGACCTCCCAATCAATGTTGGCCCACCAACAATTGAAGAGATAAGCATGGCCATCAGGCAAATCAAGAGTGGCAAAGCGGCAGGACCGGACAACATCCCAGCAGAGGCACTAGGAGCAGACGTAGCGTTAACTGCAAGGATACTCCACATTCTCTTCAATAAGATTTGGGATGAGGAACAAGTACCAACAGACTGGAAAGAAGGACTCCTGATCAAAATACCGAAGAAAGGCGATCTCAGCAAGTGTTATAACTACAGGGGCATCACTCTTCTCTCAATACCGGGAAAAGTCTTCAACAGGGTATTGTTAAACAGGATGAAGGACTGCGTAGACGCCCAACTTTGTGACCAACAGGGAGGATTCCGTAATGATAGATCATGTACAGACCAAATCGCAACTCTACGGATCATTGTGGAACAATCAATTGAATGGAATTCATCACTCTACATCAACTTCATTGATTACGAAAAGGCATTTGATAGCATGGACAGAACAACACTATGGAAGCTTCTTCGACACTACTGCGTGCCTCAGAAGATGGTCAATATCATACAAAATTTATATGATGGATTAAACTGCAAAATCGTGCATGGAGGACAGTTGACAAAGTCGTTCGAAGTGAAGACCGGTGTTAGGCAAGGTTGCTTACTCTCACCCTTACTCTTTCACCCGGTGATCGACTGGATCATGAAGACGTCAACATCTCAAGAGAAACACGGGATACAGTGGACATCTAGGATGCAGTTAGACGATCTAGACTTCGCAGATGATCTGGCCCTTCTATTCCAAACGCAATAACAAATGCAGGACAAGACGACCAGTGTAGCAGCAGCAGTAGGTCTCAATATACACAAAGGGAAAAGCAGGATTCTCCGATACAACACAGCATGCACCAATACAGTCACAATTGACGGAGAAGATTTGGAAGATGCAAAAACTTTTACATATCTGGGCAGCATCATTGATGAACAGGGTGGATCTGATGCAGATGTGAAGGCGCGGATCGGCAAAGCAAGAGCAGCATATCTACAATTGAGGAACATCTGGAACTCAAAGCAACTGTCAACCAACACCAAGGTCAGGATTTCCAATACAATACTGTATGGGGAGGAAACCTAGAGAAATACGAAAGCCATCATTCAGAATATACAAGTGTTTATTAACAGCTGCCTACGCGAAATACCTCGGATCCGTTGACCAGACATTATTAGCAACAACCTACTGTGGAAGAAAACAAACCAGATTCCAGCGGAGGGAGAAATCAGGAAGACGCTCTGAAAGCGGATAGGACACACATTGAGGAAAGCAATCAACTGTGTCACAAGACAAGCCCTCACATGAAATCCTCAAGGCCAAAGGAAATGAGAAAGAGCAAAGTACATATTACGCCGAGAAAATGGAAACAGACATAAGAAAAATGAACAGAAATTGGACAGAACTGGAAAGGAAGACCCAGGACAGAGTGGGTTGGAGAATGCTGGTCGGCGGCCTATGCTCCATTGGGAGTAACAGGCGTAAGTAAGTAAGTAAGTAAGACAAAAGCTTTTGAGTTATATGATTTTTAGTAGTTGAGTTTATGAGTCAATAAGAGCTAGACCACCATGGAAAACTTGGAAGCACTGGATGACCGTTTCGTTTTATTATGTGACTCCTCACTAACTGAAGAGGAACTTGTTAAGAAATGTTTAAACATAAGTGTGAATATGACCCGTAAGCAGTAGTAATGAATAATCTATTGACAAGGTGAACTACTTACCACCTCTAAGATGGTATTAAAATGATTTATGAATTAACATTTATATGTAAAGTGATAGCAGATATGTTAGATTGTTTGACATAATTTTAGGATTCCAGTCAGCTATAGATGCTTACGGGTTATGAATATTTCTACTATAGTGAACGAGGACACAAGTGGGGACAATCGAATGTTTTACAATGTTCAATAATCAAGATCCATTTCAGCGAATTGATCAATTATTTCGAAACAGGCAACCTCACAGAAAGAAATAAGTTTTCGATATAATTTTATATTGTACTTAGTTAGCAATTTCCTAATTTATTAGTTCTGTAGTGAACGAGAACACAAGTGGGGATAATCAAATGTATTTGAATTCAAAATTACAGAATATCTTAGTAAAATTTGAGAACCGTACAGTAAATGTCAGTTGATTATCTCAAGCGTGACTGGCTATTCCTTTCCACATCAATCACTTTCTCTTCTCTTCGAATTTCTCAACCTTCTGCCACCAAGTACTTCACTTCCGTTTGATAATACGTACTACTTATATCTGTCGACATCAGTAGCACACACCACATTATTGCTTTATATACACCACTAAATTTTACTAGGTTCAATAGGGAGGAAGACTTATCTATCTATCTATCTATCTACCCAATTCGAACTACGTATCCAAACAATATGTTTGATATTATTCGAATATTACAACACTAACAAATACACAAAATTTGAACCATACTTTTGTAATCACAACTATCACATTTTCTAATCACCCGCTGGCTTACATAGGAACATTTCTCGAAATAAATCACCTTGACTGGAATGACATGACATGGTCTGACTTGTTTATTTTTAATAAACTATTCTACTTTACTTCCTCGTTTTATATATTTTTTTGTCAATTCAGTTCAGTTGTGTATTTGTTTTCTTTTAGTGACTTTTAATATGACTCCATTAATATCGTATGATTATCGTTATCGACTTAAACATGTCACCAATCTTCGTATATATTCATCTACTTAAATCGCGTTAGTCAATAACGGAATTAAATAAGTCAAATACCAAAATGGATTTTTGAATACGTATATTTCGTGCAATCGTTGACCAGAAAGCGAAGCAAAACAAAATGACGCGCGATTGAGAAGGTGAGTGAGCCAACTTGATTTAGCCAAGTATGAATCGATATTTATAATCAAACAAAAATAAGTTACATACATGTGATGAGTAGGATAAGAAATTCACACACCTTGCGTTTGCATAAAAACAGTCAAAGTTGATAGGCAAACAATTAACAAGGTCAAAATGTAACTCAAGAAGAATAAACAAATTGGTCTGTCCAGAAACTAAAATAAGCTATGTGTGCTTAACATAGCAACCGACACTACATTCTGAAGAAACGACTTACATTTAATAATGAAATGTCAGAATTTCAATATACTTCGAGATATTACAAATATTATAACTACTTCATCTACGATAGTATTTCATATTTTAATTTATAGGATATTGTAAATTTGTCCATTAGTTAGACACTGTCATGGCCGTTTCGTCCTAGTATGGGACTCCTCAGTGGTGCGCATCCACGATCCCAACTCCCGCGACATTCGAACCCAGGACCTGTCAGTCTCGCGCGCGAGCGCTTTACCATTAGACCACTGAGCCGGCATCCAACTGTGTTAATGACTAACTTCAACCAATCCACGAAGTTGCGCCACCGTACACCATTGTCTTCAGTGAGTTGATATCTCACAACACACCTGGTTGAACTCCGCTGATAACGGTTTCTCACTAGAACTCCAGGAGTATCTCTTGAAGTCAGTCACTGGTGATGATTCTTCTAAATTCTCCAGTTAGTTAAGCGCCTGACGCGAGACTGATAGGTCCTGAGTTGGAATGTCACTGGAGGCGGGATCGTGGATGCGCACTGCTGAGGAGTCCCATACTGAGATGAAACGGCCGTCCAGTGCTTCCAGGTTTTCCATCGTGGTCTAGCTTCAATTGACTCATGATTTCAATCTGTGAAATTTCTAAAAATCTCCACAAACAGCTTCTGATAATAAAAATTTCATCAATTTTATTTTATCTGAAGGTAACAGACAGCAAACTGATTTAGAACAATTTCCAAATCTTAACACAAAAATTACTTGACGAGAGAAAAGAAATCATCTCTAGGTAACTTGATTAAACCAGTTGTGATTCTTTGAGTTTAATGACCTCTGAGCAACTTTCATCTTCTCAACTATGTGTATCATGTTGCAGAGAGATGTTAATTAACTTTAAGTTCTCATATGTTGTACTACTATTCACATCTATAATATAGCACCATCGTATAAAAGTGAAACAAAAAAGACCAGATATTGTTGCATAGATTGAAGTTTTAATGCTTGAAAAGACTGTTAAGGCAATGATATCTTGCACTTTAAGAATGTAGAACAGCAATCATTTCATGATGGAATTTCTGTTCTAAAGTAGAACTAAGAATAATACATACCCGTTTGTTATATAGTTTGATTAGTATCTATTATCAGAATTTATTTTCTTGATTGACGGATACCTAGACCTTATTCAGAACTTCATACACTATTGACGTATCGAACCGTAGTCGGGATTTTCAAAATTTCACAGCAATCATTAATGATATTGAGTACAGATTTCTTTCATTTATAGTTTTTGTAAGTTATTATATGAAAATCAATTATATACAAAAGAAGAACATAATCGTTTATGTGTGTTTTCACCGTATAATATGATTATTACCTCAACAATTTAAGATAATTTAAAAGGTATTGTTTTATTTAGAATGAACTGTTAATTTCCTCAATGTAAATATCTTGGTATTAGATCATATACTGTTAGTTGAACGGATAGTCACAGGGTTTAAGACTGAATGTGAATACGGAGAATGGTGTACTAATGTATCCAACAGACGAGTCCCAATTAGAATAAAACGTGTATCTTGAATTTCGCTACTTGTTTCATTCTAATCATTTGTATCCTACAATTTTCAAAAATCTAGAACACATTTTGCAATCTACATAGCAGTTGCCAAGACGGTTCTGCTGTATGGGGAGGAAACCTGGAGAAATACGAAAGCCATCATTCAGAATATACAAGTGTTTATTAACAGCTGCCTACGCGAAATACCTCGGATCCGTTGACCAGACATTATTAGCAACAACCTACTGTGGAAGAAAACAAACCAGATTCCAGCGGAGGGAGAAATCAGGAAGACGCTCTGAAAGCGGATAGGACACACATTGAGGAAAGCAATCAACTGTGTCACAAGACAAGCCCTCACATGAAATCCTCAAGGCCAAAGGAAATGAGAAAGAGCAAAGTACATATTACGCCGAGAAAATGGAAACAGACATAAGAAAAATGAACAGAAATTGGACAGAACTGGAAAGGAAGACCCAGGACAGAGTGGGTTGGAGAATGCTGGTCGGCGGCCTATGCTCCATTAGGAGTAACAGGCCTAAGTAAGTAGCAGTTGAAAGATTACCATGTGCAATTTTATGTTGTGAATTTATATTCGACATACTGAACGCGGGTGAGTTTGTTTTATTGGTACTGATTGATTATTAGATGTAATGATAATTTAGACTGTCTCCATTCAAACCCTTGCATTTTTATCATCATCAATTTGTTAGAATTTATCAGTATTTAGGTGTCAATTCTGATTATATTGAATGAAGAGTTTATGTTTAGCACGTCGGGTTTCATTTGAAGACATTTTTTCTCATAGGTGTGTAACTACTACATAGACTCACTGTTATAATCGGTATGTAGCTAACCATACAATTAAATGGTACTCAAGTATTTCGTGTCACTTGGTGCACATCAGCAGAATCTCAGGGTTGAAGCTAACAATGAGACTTGAACTTGTTATGTTTGTTTTCCTTGAGGTCCTGTCTCCAAGTAAACACTGTCGTGTTAAAAATGTTTGAAGTAATTAATAGAGACTTTCAAATTGGTACGGGCACATCTAACTGACGAGTTGATAGTAGGTCCTCGATTATACAGCTAAGTATTCATTATATATTAAATAATTAGAATTCTGATCAATGCTGATGCCTTGATGTGGTGGTCGAGCTTGCCTATCGTGATGACCTTGGTCAGTTATACTGGATGGAACAATCGTTCCTCAAGGCCGAGGATATATTGATCATATCTTCACCCTCCGCCAAATGTTAGAACACCGCCATACTTATCAAAGGTCAACAATTGTAATGTTTCTTGACATCAGGGCTACCTTCGATTCGTTGGACAGGACTGTTCTCTGTGATTGTCTATTGAAGAACGATGTGTCTGAGAAGTTTATTAACATCCTAAAAGCTGTATATACAAACACCTCAGGCAGAGTGAGGGCATACAACCACCTCTCTCCATTGTTCCATTCGAGCAGTGGGGTTAGGCAGGGTTGCCCAATCTCACCATTCCTCTTCAACTTTGCCACCGATGACATTCTGGAAACAGCTCTGATGAATGTAAGTAATGGTGGTATGGATCTGTTGCCTGGAGAAAAACTTCTCGACCTTGAGTATGCAGATGATATTGTCTTACTGTGCGACAACGCCAAAACCATGCAATCCGCACTTAATCAGTTGGCAGCAGTGTCCGTAGGTATGGTATGTGCTTTGCACCTTCGAAGTGCAAAGTACTTCTACAAGACTGGCAGGATTCCAATCCTGTACTCACCATGGATGGTGAGCAGATAGACGTAGTCGAGAAGTTCGTGTATCTGGGTAGCTGCATAAGTGCTGGTGGTGGTGTGAGTGATGAGATCAATGCACGTACAGTGAAAGCCAGAGCGGCTTATGCCAATCTGGGCCATCTTTGGCGCCTTCGTGATGTTAGTCTGGCTGTAAAAGATCGGATCTACAACGCGTCGGTGAGAGCAGTTTTGCTCTATGCTTGTGAAACCTGGTCTCTCCGAGTTGAGGAAGTTGGACGACTCTCTGTGTTTGATCATCGTTGTCTCTGAAGGATTGCTGACATCCAGTGGTAACACCATATCAGTAATGTAGAGGTTCGGCATTGTGTGTTCGGGTACCGAGATGTTAATGCAATTGGTGTCACCATCTTGAAACACCGACTTCGGTGGTTTGGACATGTTCTACGAATGTCGTCCAAGAGAATTCCACGTCGTGCATTATTTGCCGTCTCTGGGACTGGTTGGAAGAAGCGGAGAGGTGGTCAGTGCATGACATGGTGTAGTGGCATGAAAGAAAGCTGCAAAGGACTGGCTTGTGTTGGTCCTTCACGACTCCCTGGTTGAGGTCTGAGAGATGGTGCTACACAGTGGCTAGAGAGGTTATCAGATATGGCTCAGAATAGAAGCCAGTGGCGATCCTGCTGTAAACTTCTTTTACTTTCTTCATAAAAAGTGGTTGTGTCTCCCTTACCTGAAAGATTTCTTCTGATTGTACCTTTCCGTTCCCTCATTACTACCACACTACCTTACACCAATCTCTTCGTTACTGTTCTCTTTTTTTTGCGCTCCTTAGCTTTTTTTCCCTATTTCTCTTCGAATCCTCATTGTTTTGTGTGGCGGATATATATTAGCGCTCTCTTGTTTACTCGAGACTACTGCTAAACACAGATTTTGCAAAGAACACTCATTTAATATAGACCTCAGGAGCATTCCTGTTACATTTAGAGTGATTTTAGTCACACATCGATGAAATTCTGTGGTCGCAAGTGGCAGAAATGATCAAATTAAACAACTGTTACTTTAATAATTAATCCTAGTGATTGTAATCAATCGAATAATCTACATTGGAAACTAAACAAACGAACTTCACAGTGAATGAAATATTTTACAAATCAGCTGTAAAGTTTAGAAAATTATCGATTTCCTTTTGATCTCTTATACTATATAGAATTTACATTGGAATGATGTTTACAACTGAACCATTTTATTGTTTTGCGCATCTT